ATATGCTCAAGCTACTGAAGGTAAATCTGACAATATTGTGGGGGCCTCCCTATGACTGGGTCCCCTGGAGTTTTTAACTCTCAGGCTTGCCTATACTGAGCCTCCAGCAATTAGTCAATTACAGTTCAAGTTTTCTGATCCTGGTGCTGTTTCCTGTGGCAGTTTCCACTCCTGAGTCTCTGTTCTGGTAAGCAATGACTCTTTATATTTGCCTTTCTGTCTAATCTTGAGATCGGCAGTTTGCCCTTATTCTTTCCCTCTCTTTTAGATCAAAGATTTTTTTATTTTTCCATCTGTTCAGCTTTTTACTTGTTAGAAAGAGTGGTGACTTCCAAGTTCGTTACTTGCAGAACTGAAAACCAAAATTCCAATATATATATACTTTTGCTTCTGACTTCTTACACTATTTGTATCTGAAGTTTAGCAGTTTTCATGAATAAGCACCTCTCAGTCTGTTGGATACATTTGGTCAATTTTCAGAATGCTGAAATGGTTATTTTTAAGTTTGTCCAGCTTTATAGTTGCTTTTGGGGGAGAGGATTTGTTAACCTCATCCAGTCAACTAGAAGTGAATCCTGTACAGAATGGTTTAAACACACTATAGTTGCTTATAAATGCTCCCTAAGAGTCTATATTTAAAGTACTGACTAGGGTCTGATGGTAATTACTTTAATTTTCTTTACTACAGGGCCTGTGTAGGTCAGATCTCTTCTTAATGATAGTGAGATTGTTTACTGATCACAGAAAACTAAGCTTTGATGAATGGAGAATAAAGGGTTTCGTGTTACTGGGTCATAGTGAGCACATTCCATAGTTAGGCTGTATAAGACTGAGAAGTGGAATATGGGAAGGCAGCAGTTAACTTACTAATTTTCTTTATTTCTAAATAACAAATGATTTGCCTCCCTGTATTTCATGATGGTTCATGCTGGCCTCTGTATGTACCATAGAAATGAACTTTACAAAGGTACCAGGCATGCCTGAATGCATTTTAAGTACTTGGTTCAAAATGAATGATGGACAGTTATATTTGGAGCTCTGGGTTTCACTTAGCCATCTTGAATCTGTTATAGTCTTATTCAACAACTTCCAAAGATATTTTAAGTTATTAATTATTTTGGTTTAGATGTAAATTGACTTAATGCATTCAAAAAGTTTTCCACTGGTTTCCTAATAACCAATAATTTTCTCCAATGCAATAGTGGCCAAAAAAAAAGTTGGAAAAAATCCCCCAAAATTATATTTTTCAATTATACACAATATTGTTAATTTTATCTCACTAATACCATTCTAGTTTAGATAGTTTTCAATTCTTGTTTGAGCTATTGCATTTACGTCATTAGATTCTCTGCTTGTAGTTCCTTTCATTCCAATCCATTTTATACATTGTAGTAAAACCAGTCTCCTTCAAACAATGTTATTAACATGTAACTTCTCTTGTCAAAAGCATTTGGCAGTTCTCTGTTTCTTACCCAAGGTGGCATCTAAATTATACATGCTGTTCATGGTCGTAGCCCACTCAGACCTACAAGATTTCCTCTCTCTGCTGTCTAAAACAGATCTTCAGTCTCATGGGGGAAAAGTCACTATTCTCAGAGCTTGTCTTATCCATTATTCCTTCTCACTAGTCTTCATTTTCTTTTTGCTTCTAAAATGTCTTTCTTATCACCTTTCCAACTTTCTAGATTCTACTCATTGTTCCTCTCATCACAATAAAATCTTACTTGACCAGTAAAACCTTAAATTCCTATAGCACTGTGTAAACTAATTGTTTTTCTTTTAATGCACGTGCTTTATTTTTCCAGCTAAGATGGACACACACACCCACCCCTTAGGCAATATATAGGTTTTATTTCTTTATAATTTATCCTATGTCTTTTGTATTTTCAGTACTGGACTTTGTCCAAAATTGGATCAGGCATTGTTACCTAGCACTGGTAATAAAATGTTTCAAAGCAACAACAATCATAATAATGACTAAATTAATATTGATTAATCCTTATAGAGCTCTTTTCACATGACAGGCACTGATTTAATAGCTTTATAGGAATTTAATTCATTTAACAGATATGAAAACTGAGGTACAAAAAGGCTAAGTAATTTGCCTGAAATCATGTACCCAGATAGAGCTAGAATTCCATTCCAGGCCATCCATATCCATAGTCCACTTTTTCAAACCCTCTGTCAAGTCACTTAATGCACATTTGGTGAATGGATGAGTACCAACCTGAACCTCCCGTCTCTTCTTTTATGTTTCACTGATGGATCTGCTCTAGGAAACTGTTCTTTACCTTCTACCTGCATCTCCCCTGTCAGTTTGGATTTTAAATTCCTCACTTACAACCTTCCATGCACTGTGCCTCTCTCCTGCTTTTTTACACCAAGAAGTTCCTCAAATTCTTTCACAGCCTTCATCTCAAATATAGTCAACCTTGACATTAAGATTATCATTTGAATCTTAAATGTCACTCAGTTCACTTCAGATCATAGCAACCTATCTTCAGGCCCAAGAATCTTTAATGAACCTGTAAAGTATTTTCATCTCACCTCACAAGTGGAAAACTAAAGGAGAGTGAGCAAATGTCACATTGGAATAGTAGTAAAAACAAAGGCTTTATAATAGCTTTTGTGGTCAGGCATTTTAGATATGAATTTATTTACAAATGATTGAGTTTTTAAGACATTGAGTTATTCCAGTTTTTATAGGGAAAGCATTTTGTTCTTTGTATACTATAAGATGTGATTGAAAAAATTTTTAAGATACCATTTTATCACCTGGGGAGAATGACACTCTTCAGTAATTTTTAAAATGCCTCCTTGCTATTATTCTGTAAGCATAAAGTAACAAGTATCAGACTCACAGCTGCACATAGCATTAGTGTTTAACTCTAGTCTAATACAGCAGGATACAAACTCTATCCATTAAGTTCTCACAAAAAGAATGGGGTAATGATAAAAGTTAAAGATGATATTTATATTTTTTGTTTCAGATATGCTGAGCCATTCACTGCATACTTCCTATCCGGCAGTGATCCCGAGTTTTTTGTAAAACCTCAGTCTGGAGAACTTGCTTCTTTTGACAGTGATGGAACTGTCATTATCGTGGGTTTTAAACCTCGAATGTATGGTAAGAAATACAAAGCAAGATTAGTAATAGAGGTGAGTTCTGTAAAGGCTATAGTAAAAGATGTTTGATGTCAGTAAAGGCATCTGGGGAGAAAAGGTTTCACCCAATGATCACAGATAAAGAATAGTAACATTATCTTGCAAAAGTCAACATATTTCAACTGCTCTTATTTTAGTTTCCTTTTGTCCAGTAAAGAACTTTTCTATATAGACTATAACAAAAAAGTTGTCATTACCAGTGGACAGTAAGAAATGATTTCCCTTCCATATTAAGGAATGTTTAAAAGACAAATAATGACTACAAAATGATTTGTATATTAATATAATGTTTTCTGTAATAACCTATTTAAGGACTTTAGGTGACTTGAGATAGAGATTTTTGGAACTTTTAATTAAGGTATAAGGTATTATCAAAATATTAAAGTCAAAAATGAAGAAATTAAATAGATAAAATTTATTTTGCATTTAAAAAACAATGTAAAATGGGTTCATATATATTAATATAAAAGTCTGTTAATGGGATCATTTCATTAAAAGTTAAGGTAAACACAATTTTTAAAACTTACTCAGTAAACAAAATTTCTCCATAAAATTTCACACCTATATTTTACTAAGAACACTTAGGATAAAGACAACTTTCAAATTATTTATGGAAAATATGCCACTGTCTATTTCAGTAGCACAGGCACAAAGGACATGTAGTCATGTTTCATGGCATAATTACTGATGCCAAAGTGATCACTAGACTTTTAAATAAGATAACTAATTAGGCAGTGCCACGTGCAGAAAAATATGTTACTACTTAATTGAAAAGAGAAAAGAATAATGTTGAGTATTTCTTAAGACAATTATTTATATTTTTTTATCTTTCTAAGAGTTTTTACAATACAGGCCATAAAAATATAAGGCCTCTGGAGTCTTGCTGCACATAGCCCTTTGCTGCATTGATACTTGATTTTAAATGATTGTATTGGTGTACCTACTTTTTAAGAAATGAAGGTCTGCTTTTAATCTAAGGGGATTAAATGACAATTTTAAAAATAGACTTACAAATTAAAATAGTGTCCCATGGACATTTCTGAAATTAACTACTTAGGAGAGTTTGCCAACTAAATCTGTGCCTGGTTTCCCTATGTTGATTTGACAATACAATCACTGGCAGCAAAATTGACAGAATTTTATGAGAGAATAGTTTGGTATATGGCATCAGCTGAGAAATTAACATTTTCATTTAGTCTGAAGTGGTACAGTTTGATAAAGCCTATGTGGGGGAAATTGAAATGTGTTTAATAAATCATCATTTTGTTGATTTTATTATGGAAAATGCTAAATATGTGTAGAAATAGAATAATTTCCATGCTCTGTCATCCAATATGAAGACTAATCAACTCATGAAGCCAATCCTGCTTCAAGTATATTTCCACTCTCTTCACCTTCCATATTATTTTGAAGAAAATCTTAGACATCCTATTATCTGCAAATATTTTCTGTTCATCTCTAAAAGACAAAAATTATGGCCATGATACCATTATCACACTTAAAAATTGATAATTCCTTAATATCTGTACATATAAAATATCCATTTAGTTCAAATTACTAACTCATAAATCTCATATTTCTTTAACTTAAAAATATATGTATAGACGTATAAGAAATTGCAAAAATAGTACATAAAATCCTTCTCTCTGTTTTTCCCAATGCTGACATCTGACATAGCTGTAGTAAAATATCAAAACAAGGAAATCGATTTTGATAAAATACTGTTAACTAGGCTAGAAACCTTCCATTTTCAACATTTTCACATGCATTTGTGTAGGTGTGTGTGTGGTTCTAGACAATTTGAACCCATGTATAGATGTCACGACTGAGAAACAGAACTGTTCCATCACAGCAGAGGAACTATGTCATGCTAACCCTTTTATAGTCATGTCCAACACCATAACTCCCTCCCTACCCCTGACAGCCATAAATCTTTTCTTCATCTTTATGATTTTGTAATTTCTAGAATATTATATAAATGAAATCATACTCTGTGTAATCTTTAGAAATTAGCTATTTGTGCTTAGTATAAAGCCCTTGAGATTCATAAGAGTTATCACATATATCAAATCAATGATTTTGAAATCATGGCTCAAACATTGTCTCTCTGACTCAAAAACCCTGCCCTTAATGACAACATCATGATAAATGTGAAGAATTTAAAAAGTTAATTCATTGTCTAAATAAAAATTATTGTTTACATTATTATCGTTTTATTAAACTATCAATTTTAAACATTTAAGTCAATTAATACTTGTAATATATATGAAACATACAATTTTCATTGTGCTTTACTTAGAAATAAAAATGAGGGATTTTAAGAATAGTTTAGTTATTAGCCTACACAAACTTCAACAACCATGTTAGCAACCTTCATAAGTTCCCTTTCAATTAAACCATATTCAAAATGATTAAAAACTGCCTTTTTCTCACTATTAAACAAGGCATATAGCACTAGCTTTGGGAGACTTAATTTGATCAGACTGTTACAAAAAGCAGTGCTACTCAAAGAGAGTACCTGGCCCACTCAACTTTCAATAGTGGACATGATAAATATTAGCTTATATAAAAATGTGAGAACTATCATAATTATCCAAGATAAAACATATAATGCTTGCACAAAAGTAATATATATAGCTGGACCTTTATAGCTAGAGACATAACCAGAAAGAAATAATATGTATGTAAATACATAGCAAATCCCTAAAATAAGAATTCAAGCCAAAGTAGCATATTTGTTGTCTGATGTCAAGTAACAGATGTAGGGAAGCCGGGATACAAAACAAAAAGGAATGAAAACCAATAAAAGGTGCTTTATCAAGACAACTACCACAGTAGGCAACTGAAATTTAATCCCATGGGAGCTTTCTGGGAACTAGTGTAGAACTCACACCTTAGAATATTTATACCAGAAGGAGCCAGGGAGTTGGGATATTTATGTACCAAATGCCGCCGTTCAATCATTGATTGAGGAATGCTCCCAGGGATTATTAATCCCCCGGCAGCAGAGAAGGCTTCTGGAGTTTCTGTAAAACAGTCAACGAAGTACAGATAATGGTGATTAGAACTTGGGACAGGCAATGAAATGAAAACAGCTGAGGGGTGTGCGTGGGCACAGACCACATCTGCTAATGGATAGTCAGTTGCTTCCATTCATAAGAATATGCCCTTTAAAATGTAATTTTGGGCATTTATTCCATGAGGTCATTGGCTTTGACTGATTCCTTTTTGGACTAGAGAGATATTAACTAAATATGGAAATTGCATCTGTTTAAAAACTAGTTGTCTTTTAAATTTTCATTTAAGAAGTAATTGAGGAGTATAGTTATCAATTTGGCATTCTTTTTGTAACAATTAACACTGATTCTGTGGGGAATTAGTAACACAGAGGTATTGATTTATTCTTATATTATTTTAACTTCAATCGAGAAAATATCGAATTACATCTTCACAGTGTTTTGAAAAAATGAATAATTGTTTTTATTCACAATTAGATTGAAAAAGTTAACTATACATATAAGAACTATAATATTTAATCTTCATAAACACATCATTATTATCATACTGATTGTTGGAATAAAGGACATGAACAAATATATTTTATATTTGGATTATATATGTTATATGTACTATATGTAAATATATATACACAGTAAGCATCACTTATTACAAAATATTTGTATCTTAAATGCGTACAGTAACATTCAGGACTTTTAAAAAAGTGTCTGTATAAGTAATTATTTTCAAAGGGTCTTGGAGATGTGTTGGGTGAAGGTACAAATCTCTAAGTGTAGTTCCCGTTTATATCCACTAGGTTTCAGATGGGAGTGTACATCCTTTCATATAGCTCACTCAGGTGTACCCACTAAGTGTAAGGCATTAATGTGGGTCTCTTCAAGTATCTCATCCATTTGATTCATGAAGCGGGTCACTTGTAATGTAAAAATATACAATAACATATACATAATTACCAAAATGTAGCTTTTTTTTTTTAATTGAACATCCTTATATGAAGTAAATTGTTATTTAACCCAGTTGTAGTATGGTTCTTGGTTTGTTCTGCTTTTGACTCATTGATTCTAAATATATAATTACTATGAACACTAGATAGAAGGGCCAATTATGATAAAAATAGCACCATTTCAGATGTGCAAGAAATGCCTGCACTTAACATTCTTTGATAGATATTAAATCCTGATGTTACTGCAATATTCACTTGACCTGGACTTATCCTGACTAAGTTTTCTGAATTTACATGGTACAAAATCTTACTGTGAGGAAGAAGTCCTAGATGAACATAGGCAGCATAAGGAAATTCTGCAAGAGCAATGGGATTTAAGTATGGACATGCAGAAAATGCTAGACTGACTAATATTTTCATTCTGTGCATACATGCAAAAGAAATTAAGGATTTTAAAATAAGTTGCTGCATAAGTTGTACTGACTTAGATTTAGATTATGATTGTCATAATAATTTTACACTATGCTCAGTAATTTCAAACTTTATATTATGTACTTTCATAATCTAACAGAAACTTGACATATTTTACCAGTCAGTTCTATAGCCACACTCATATTATCATGTATAGGTTCATCTTGCAAGGTATTGTTTCCAATGCATAAAACCAAATGCTTTCCTAAATGTAGTTTCCATGTTAATTATTTGTTATTATCAGTGCCATTTCAGTTTTGTACCTTTCCTATACCTTACATGGAAAAGAGAAAGGGTGTTACTTTGGTAAACTTTTACTACATTTTTCTCTGTCCCTGCATATTTTGTATAAAATTTCTCTTTCTCATTGTTTTCAGACAGAGGAAACGTACAGTTTGTATGCTGTCAATGGATTACCTCAAGTAACCAAGTCACCCAAGGATGTAGAAGCCAAAATTGACACTACTAACAAAATGTTGAACAGCAAGCCGGTTCCTCAGCGCAATTTTGTCTGTGAAAATATTAACCTCGTAAAGACAGGAGTGCCCTCTACCATCAAGTGTGCTCCTTTGATGTTGAAGAATAAATAAAAGTTTTTTCCAAAATATTTCTTGATCTTGAGTAGAATTGAATATAATTTTGTGATTGTAATTGCATCTTCTGGAATATTTGTGAGGAATAATATTTCAATTATAATAGACCTTATATGTTTTATATTTTAAATGCTAAATTTATTCTCTGAATATGTTATACCTAATTTCTGAGTTATGTGTGTGTTTTAAAATGGACTGGGTACAAATGTTGGGATTGGTTCACTTTTAAAGTACAGGAGTACGTTTATAATAAAACTGAAAAATGTGATTTCAATGACAATACTGTTAATTACTGGTGTTTCTCAATTTCTTGTGATGATGATATTTATGAATCTTTAAAACTAATGAAAAATTAGCATATAAGATGGAAGGGTTCACCATTTCTTTTATCTTATATATTTGGAGTATTATGTGCTATCCAATGGATTTTTTTTTTTTTTCATTTCAGTTATTGGGCGTTTCAGTTCTAAAATTGCTATTTGGGTCTTCCTTATATCATCCATTTCTCTCCTGTGTCTGTGTCTTTGATGATACTCTCTGTTGTTTCAACCATGTTTATAATTGCTTGTTGAAGCTTTTATCGTTTGTTGAAGATGGCTGCTTTAAAATCTTTTGTCAGGTCATTCTAACATCTCTGCCACCTTGGTGTTGAGATTTATTGCCTTTTTTCATTCAAATTAAGATCTTTCTGATTATGGATATGAAGAAGGTTTTTTATTTGAAACTTCTACATTTTGGGTCTTATGAGAACCTGATTCTTATTTAAACCTTCTATTTTAGTTGGTTTCATGTGATAGCACACCAAGTGTTACTGCCAAGTGAGGAGAGAAGTCCAAGTTTCCCACTCAGCCTCCATTGGAATCGTAGTGCTGGGGGACTGCTTAATACTTCTGGGTGGAGTGGGACTTCCTGCTCCCCACTGGGCTTCAACGGACACCTCTATGGGAAGAGAGCTAGGAGTGCCTGGTTCCTTTTCTTCCCATGGCCTCCGGCAACACTATGAGGGTGTCCTCCTCGTGATTGAGAGGTGGTGAAAGTCCTTTCTACCACCCTATCTGGGAAGGGCAGGAACATCTTGTTATTGCAGGGTGTGAGTAGATGTCCAGGCCTTCCATGTGTGTCCCCTGACAGTGGGGAGCACAGCTTATTACTAC